CTGTGTCACCATCGGGTGAATGAACGAGGCCAATTATTCTCCATAAAAGGCTTTAAAATCTCATCGGCCCCCTGGATTTTTCTGTCTTTTTTTAAGCCCCGAAAATCATTCTTCATTTCAGTCTCGGAGTGGGGCTTACCTTACCGAAGACTTCACCCTCGCTGCGTTTGATGTTCTCTTGCCACATTTCGTCTCACTTGTCACTAAAAGTGGATTTCTCCTTTGCATACTGAAATTCTATTTCTGAGACCTTCCAGTTCCGGAATTTGTCCAAAACTCTCGCTTTTTTATGGTAAGGACTTAGGAAACAAGAGAATCAGACGTGTCGAATTGCTTTGTTACGTAATAGGCCAATACGCCTTGAATTTGACGCCACACGTGTCATGATGTTGACCTCCTTTTTTTTTTTTTATTTAAAAAAAATTTTTTTTTTCAACGTTTATTTATTTTTGGGACAGAGAGAGACAGAGCATGAACGGGGGAGGGGCAGAGAGAGAGGGAGACACAGAATCGGAAACAGGCTCCAGGCTCCGAGCCATCAGCCCAGAGCCCGACGCGGGGCTCGAACTCCCAGACCGCGAGATCGTGACCTGGTGGAAGTCGGACGCTTAACCGACTGCGCCACCCAGGCGCCCCAACCTCCTTTTTGCTCCGAACTGGCCTTTGCTATAAAACATTAATGTATAAATAAGTAGGCTCCAGTATACTGAGGAATAAAAGTACAGGAAATTCTTTATGTTCGCATAAAGATCCTGTTGTGCTCTAAGTATGGGAGTGACGTATACTGTTTGGAGGGTGTGGGCTGGGTGGAGCGATGGCCGGCATTGGGGCTGCATTGTCCCTGTCTCGCCTGGTGTGTGTGGCCCCCTACCCCTACCCCAGCCCCGCCCCACCCCCAGCCGCCCTTCCGGGGGTGTTTGGGGGTGTGGCCGAGTGCACGCTTCTGCACCCACATTCTATGTTGTTAACACAATTCAACGGGGTACCTTTTCAAGGTCCCATTGGCTTTATTTGGCGATTCACGAATCGGGCAGCATCCCATCAAGCAGACAGAGAGGAGCTCTGAGGAGCTGGACACAACGGAAGGCTCACGGGCAGAAGAGAGTGGGGACAAGAAACTGATAGGAGTCAAAAAAGCACTCTTTCCCTCGGGGACGGCTGATGTCTCGCAAGTACCTAATGGTAGTTAGAGCTGGTCAGGTGATTCCTCACGGGCGGGCTGAAGTCTCCGTTTCCCGGAAAGCGGAAACCCCGCCGAAGTCTCAGTTTGGTGACGCGGGGCTTGGCGTAAGTGACTCCATTTTGAGCCTTGTTGTTTAAATGATGTCTGCATCCAATCTCATGCTTCCAGCGGTTGCACCATATTCCGTGGTGAGCGTTCCACCCCGTTTTTCTTACCTGCTCTCACTGGGTGGCTTACGTCCGCAGAGATGACACCAAGGGCGAGAGCAAGTGGCCCGGAGAAGCCAGCGCCGCAGCATCAGATGAAAGAGCGCCAGGCCGGGGACCCCGCACAGGGCAAGCCCGGTGCGCGCAGGCCGGGGTGACGTGTGGTCACGGGAAGCTGGAAGAAGGTCCTGGAGGCAAGAAGGGGCCAGATCAGACCGCCAGCCTCGTGGCGAAGGGTCCCCGGGAGCTGAAAGGCAGAAACGGCCAATTACCCTTATCAGCCAGCGTGTATTAAACGTCCCTAGGTGCCAACATGTCACCCACCGCGCAGCTTGGCGGGATGCCATGGCCTTTGCCGGGCCGGCGAGACCCATGGGGCGTGAGTCAGTCATCACCCAGAGTGACAGGACAGAAGGCCCGGAGCTGCATTTCAACCCGGAAAGACCGAGTTCCGGATGCACACGCCCCCGCCCCCCTGCACAGTCAACTGCAAGGCCGAGCGGAGGGCAGGGGGAGACGGGGGCCCGCCACACAGATTTTGCCTGGTTTTCCCCTGAGATGATTCGAGAGAAAGAAATAGACAAACCCGAAGGAAGACTAGGGACCGGCATCCCCAAAGCCTGCGAGCCAGTGAGGAGGAACCAGTACGTGCTCTTGTGCGTCTGATAGGACACACGATACTGACGTGTAACCGGGCGGCTAGCATCGTGCGTAAGGCACAGTGAGGCCAGTGCCGGTGCTGTCCAACCAGAGGGCCTGAATGGCGGGGGGCAGCATGTAGGGGCGACAGGGGTCACCGAAACGTGGGTGTGGCAACAACCCCGCGCCCCGTTTGCAATCTTGGCCTTACGTTCCAGGGGGGACCTGGCCCCCGTCGGGGTGCAGACGTGAGGCGAGTTTCCCAGTTTTTAAGTTGTGGCGGAAATCGGAAGGCCTCCGCGTGGCTGAGGGCATCACCGATCTGCGGCCCCGAAGGGTGTGTGTAAAAGTCTGTCTCCTGTTCCCTCTCAGGACTTTCTCGGCTGGTGGAATCCAGGATAAAGTGGGATAAATCCAGGATAAAGCAGGATGTGGCAGAAAGGCTGGCCCGAGGCCAGGACCGGGTGAGCTGCTCCCGGACACCTTTGCTTGCCTCTCTCACCTCTTTCCGCCCTGGCCCCCCGTCCAGTCGGGCTGTCTGTACCCGAGAGAAGGCCCAAGGCGCTGGGGGTTCAATGTGGAATCTAGAAGAATCCATAGTAGACAAGAAAAAAATGAAAGGATTCAGACAAATCCTTTTTCTTCTTGTTTTTTTGGTTTTTTTCTTTTTTCCAGACAAATGTTTGTTTTCTTGTTTTTTCGTTTTTTTTTCTTTTTTTCCAGACAGATGCTTTCTTTATCCTGAGAATAGTGACAGAGCCCAGCTGAGTGTTGGGTAAAGGTGACCGTCCCACCCGTGTTTCTACTGACTGAGGACAGACTTCTCTTTACCAATCACAAAGCCAGATAGCTGGGCTTAGTTTCCTAAAGCATGTCAAGATTACATCAGTATAACCTGAGAAACAGTCGGCCTTCTTAAGGTGCATGTGACTTCTTGAAATTCATGAAACTAAATGAACAAACTTTCCCCCAAGGACTGCCCATAATGGATTATGAGCTAGAATTGGACTCTGTTTAATATGTACAGGCTATGGGTTAAGGGGCTCGGCTGCAGAATGCTCCCAAACTCAGGAAGGGGTAAAGACACACACCTGTAATATGTGCTCACACGCACACAGACGCACAAACTTACACGGCTCACGGAGGTGCACCTATTGTCTGTCGGATGAGGGACCCTGACGGGATGATGTTCTTGGCGGCCCATCCTGCCTCTAACATTCTGTGAATATATATGATCTAGAAATCCAGGGATGTGTTTATCACCACGACCCCAACAGCACAACCACACTGGAAACACACACATGCGCTTACTTGGGCCTTTAATTTAGAAAACAAAACGTGTCCTATTGCTAATATAGTCTAGCTTTAAGTTGGATTGTTTTTTTAAAAACGTATTTATTTTTGAGCGGGGGAGGGGCAGAGAGAGAGGGAGACCCAGAATCCGAAGCAGGCTCCAGGCTCCGAGCTGTCAGCACAGAGCCCGACGCGGGGCTCGAACTCATGGACCGTGAGATCATGACCTGAGCTGAAGTCGGACGCTTAACCGACTGAGCCACCCAGGCGCCCCTATATTTGATTCTTGAAGCAAAGAATACAGTGGCAAGTTGTTGGCATATGTTTGGGGCTGTCCAAGAAGGCTGGTTTGTTTTCCTGAGCCGGACTCGGCTGTACCAGGGTTCCCCAAATGTGCTGAGTCATCGTGGTCACGGGGGCTCTTGGTAAAAACGTGCAGTTCTAGGCCTTTCCCCGAAGACTCGGATTTAGTTGGTCTGTGTTGGGACCCAGGAATCTGTGCTGTTATCAAGCTCCTCGGGTAATTCTTGTGATTACCTGTGATTCCTGTGATTAGACAAGTCTGGGACATCTTGAACGGGGTAACCTGCTGTCCCTACTGGTACCCGATTCTGTCTGGACGTGAAGTTCAAGGACAGGTCATGATCGTAGGCGTCTCCATTGGAGCACTGACTGAGGGTGTGCTTTGCTTTACGTGTAATAATTTCTGCACCAAGGACCACTGGGGCTTGAAAATGCTCTGCTGTGCGTCCTTCCGGGCCCCCCCTTATATTCCCACTTGTTCTTATTTCTTGTTTTTCCATCTTTTTGAAATTCTCACAGACCTAATACTCTTTCAGTTGGGAATCAGTTGGATGTAACTTTCTAGCTACTTGTATGGGTTTTTTTTCTCCTCGTTTTCTTAGAGGGGTGCAGTTTATGTGACTACGTTTGGATTTTTTAAATATTATCTCAAATACTATACTTGATAACACCCTTAATTGTGCTTCAGTTAATATCATCCCTTTTTTTTTTTTTTTTTTAAGTTTATTTATTCTGAGAGAGACAGAGAGTGAGCAGGGGCAGGGCGGAGAGACAGGGAGAGAGAAGGAATCCCAAGAGGGCTCCACACTGTCAGCGCGGAGCCCGAGGCGGGACTGGAACTCACGAACCATGAGATCATGGCCTGAGCTGAAACCAAGAGCCAGACACTTAATCGACTGAGCCCCCCAGACGCTTCAGTCCGTTTGCTTTTTACCAGCCTGAGCCTGGGTACCTCGCTGTCTGTCGGACTCCTGCTTTTTGGTAGAATTAGCCTGCTCTCACGAACTAACTTATCCTGGAGGACCAAGGCCAAGGAGTCGAGGTATTTGCAGCATGCCCAGAATATTTTGACACGCATCCGAAAGCAGAAGTGTAAACCAGGAAGGATTTGTGCTGGATTCGCTCGTCTTGAGAAGCAGCCCAGTGTGCTGCCCGTGTGGGATAGATCGATCTGTGCGTTAGAAATGTAAAGAGGGAGAGAGAGGAACCTGTCCTCGGCAGTTCTCAATTCCAGCGGTGGAGGCAGGACATGAACAGAAACAAGCATAAAACGTTTGTTTCAGAACAAGACGGTGTGTAAGTCAGAGGAGAAGGAATCCCGAAGCAAAGCGTATCTTCGCCGCTTACGTCGCATGTATTCTGCTTCTCTCGCCAGCATGGACTTCTCCTGGAGGTGAGTTCCTTCCTGAATGTGTGGGTGTATGTGGATTTTCTAAATAGTACTTTGCAAACTCATATTCACTGCCTTGTCACAGATCCACGAGAGAATCGTCACTCTACATAGTGGTAGCACACGGTTCCCCAGTAAAAGAAGGGTCACGGGGCGCCTGGGGGGCTCAGTCGGTTGAGCGTCCGACTTCGGCTCAGGTCACCATCTCGCGGTTCGTGGGTTCGCGCCCCGCGTCGGGCTCTGCGCTGACGGCTCAGAGCCTGGAGCCTGCTGCGGATTCTGTGTCTCCCTCTCTCTCCGCCCCTCCCCTGCTCACGTCGTCTCTGTCTGTCTTTCAAAAAATAATAAATAAACATTAAAAAAAAAAGATGTCACAAAAGCCAATCGGCAAGAAAGAGGCCGTCAGAGTGTAGATCTAAACAGTAAACCGGAGTAACCCCTGCCCTTTGAGACCCTCGGGGACCGTAGGAAGTAGCCCCGTGGGAGGGGATCCTTACCCTTGAGGACTGTATAATTATTCCGTCGCGGCCGAAAATTGCGAAAGCATCTTATTGGCACAAACTGAAAACCAGTGTTGCTCTCCCAGACACGCATACGCCCGCAGAATGGAGCTAACCCTCACAAGGCACCCAGGGAACCCGGGAGCGGGCCACTTGGTGAGCGGTGTGCCCCACGCCGGGCACAGCGTAGGTGCAAGGCCAAAACGTGCGGGGCTGCATAAGTGGCAGACGAGGCAAACGCAAAACCAAATGTTACGAAAGCGCACTGGAACAATGGCAAAAGAGAGACAGAGGAGAGGAGTTGTTAAAACCTCTCCATCGTCTGCCCCGCGTTCCAACCCCAAGGGCTTTCCCAGGCCCCTCGGCAACAGAGGCAAGCTAGTGTCTCCTGGGACAGGGAACAGGGATGGGGGTGACAGAAGAGACCACGTTCTTGGAGGCAGAGCCTCTTTCAAAGCGAAGGCCCCCTTCTCTTCTGCAGAACCCCACACGCTGAGCATGCCTCACCCCAAGCCACCACGGATGTTTCCCATGAAGCGTTTAACAGACGGCCCCGCCCGCCCGACTGGAAGAATCCTGTAGATTTCTTGCAGCAAAGGAGTGAGTTTCTGGTTGTTTGCAGGGAAGAGCGTCTCCCTTTTAGGGGCCAATTCAGCTCCGGCCATTAGCATTTGAATCGGTCCACCAGGCTGTTTTGATTGAAGAGAGAAACAGAGCCTTTGTTGCTGTGATTTAGGGGCGTAAGTAATTTTCCAACCCCCTTTAATCAGTTCACACAGTTGGGGAAATGGTAATATATAGGAAGGGTGTGGTCTGGCCTCGGAAATGCAGATGGGGCTCCTGTCCGGAAGGTTCCCCGTGGCAGCTCCTGGCCCTGCCTGCGGCCGCTCCCTGAGCTCTGGGGACCTCCCCTCCAGGGCCGCCTGTCCTTCTCATCAAAAATTGGCTGAATGTCTTCAACACGTTCTTTGTTTGGGTTAAACCGACTCAGGTAATCACAGAAACCCAAGGGGCCCGGAATGACACACGGCCGTCGCCTCATCTTCCGGGGCTGACCCGTGCTTCCGACACACGGATATGGGCCAACCCGGGGGTCCCGTCCGAAACATGACGGGAAGCTGGGCTCCCTGGGTTCACCGGGCCACTTTACAACCTGTCATTGACTCGCTTAGCAGACGTGCTTCTGTGGCTGAGAAAAACCGCCCGACTTTAGGTTTAAAGAGAGGGGAGACGGCGTCTTCCAAGATCCCGTTGGCCTCGTTTTCCTGCTGCACCTTTGCTCATCTCGTGTGTGTAGACGCGTGGCGGTTTAGGCTGCGTAGCAAGGCAGCGCCTGGGGACGACCTAGCTGGGAAAAGCAAGGTCTTCGCGAAGCTGCTGCCCGTGCCGCCGGGCTCAGAGCCGAGTTTCACGCGGCGTGTTGGTTTCTCCGTGGACACTCGGGCAGAGGCCTCGGCCGAGCCGGGTGCACTTCTCAGCGCTCCGAGGCTTTAGCTCCGTGGCCCGACGGAGAGTGACCGGTTGGCTGAGCATCCCCCCCCGCGCCCCCGCCGCCCCCAGCGTTGACCAAACACCCCTGGAGGACACCCGAGCCCCGAGGCCCCACACAGGGGGGTGCACCGGGACCTCAGACGGCCGTCGGGGGGCGGGCCTTGGGCTCCAGCCGGGAAGGAGCTGCAGTGGTAGCCGCGGAGGCGACGGGAAGATGCTTCACCCCGCTCGGCCCGAGACCAGAGTCAACGACGACACGTTCGCCCCAAAACATGCCCTCAGAGGGCACCCGCGCCCACCCGAACGCACTCTGCCCGCTACCTTGGCTACCGCATTTGCGAGCCACCTTTCCCTCCGCGGGCAAATTCCCTCTCTGAGACTGGGTTCCAGTCTCCCTTTACCTCTTCCCTCCTGTCAGCTAATCCATCACCTCCTCCAGGAGGCATTCCCGGACTCCTCTACCTCTCTCACTAGCTCCTGCCTCAGCTGGGGCTGAACTTGTTCTTCGGCTTTCTCGGAGCTCTCAGTGCCTCCGAGGCGGGTACCGCGGCTCCCAACCACCGCGTGTCCTCCCGTCGCCGGCCCAGGTCCTTTTCCAAGAAAAGCAAAGTGTCAAGCAGCTGTTCCCCGGGAGCTGATGAAAGGCTGTGTTTGTTTCTTCGTTGGTGTTTGCTGTGTCGTGTGCACAGGGACGAATGGCAGGAGGGGCTTTCAGGCACCTGTCTCATCCCAGCGGGAGAGGCACCGTCCTGCTCCTGCGCCCGCTGGTGCCCCCAGCCCTGCCCAGGGCCCCCGGGGCCTTGCTGCGGGCTCGCCCCGGGGTGGGGCTCACCCTGTGCCCTGCTTCACCTGGCCTCACCAGGAGGAGCACAGGGAAGGAAGGAGTCCCCTGGGGCCGGGCGGTGGTCGCTGTGAGGTCTGGAACTTGACCTGGACAGCGCCCAGGGCTGGTGGAGGCCTGAGGGGAAGTCCCCACGAGACACAGTCTCCCCACCTCCGTCTCCAAGGTCACAGGGCGCAGGATGCAGGCCGTGGAGGGGAGGGGACAGCACAGTGACAAACGTTCATGTCCCATTAGCACTGAGAGAGAGGCAGCAGCTTGGGGCGGGGGTGGGGGGGGGCGACGACTGCATTCTAGGCCCGGGGCGAGCTTCCCTGAGGACCGCCGTCCCTTCGTCCCCCCCCCCACCCCGAGCGATGAGGGGTTCTCGTCACATATCGCAGCTCAGCGGCTGCGAGGGTCTCGGCTGAGCGGAGACTGACGCCCTCCATCCAGGAGCCACCCCCTTGGGCCATCGACACTTCTTTGGCCCCACACTTCCCAGCTCGAGACCCACTTTATTTTTAATTCTCCGAGTGAGCGAAAGGAAAATGCAGTTTCAGGGGCTACACCAGGGGGCCGGCGGCACCACTCGTCCGTCCGTGGTCGCCTCCCGCGTGGCACGTCGAATGCTTCCCTCACCGCGCCCGGCCGACCATTGCGTCTTCCAAGATGCCTGTGAGCCACAGGCTCCCAGCAAGAAAAGCTGTCGAGGCCGCTCTAACAACAGCACTGTGTGTTCAAGGAGTGCTGATCTTGACAGCTTTGCTTCTGTTTGCTTTTCTCTGCTTGGTGCTACCGCGAGCAGACTCCTGGAGAGGGGCAGCTGGTCTGCAGATGTGGACGCGGAGGGCAGAGCCGGAGACCTGGTCAGTGTCGTCTGGTCCGAGGCTGCACAGCGAGGCTCTGTCTTCAGGCGGGGGGATGTGGGCCAGGGGCCAGCAGGGCGGGGGCGGCCGGGGGTGAGCAGAAATCTCCAGTGAGAGCTCTGATCAATGCCAGAGGGCTGCCTGTAAGCGGGGGCTGCCGTTTAGAACTAAGGGTGAAGAGGCACATGCCCTGCCCTCCTCCCAAACTGCACTTCCATCCCGGGGCTTCACGTGGGGACCAGAAGACAGAGGGGTTGGTGACGGTGGTGACAGAGATAAAAATAGAATCTTGAGTCTGACTCAAAGACAAAACACGATGTAAACAGCACTTGCCTGTCCGTGTTCTGGCTTCCCTGTCCCTTCCCTGCATCGCCAGGGCACTGCCCAGCAAGGCTGGCACGCAGGGGGGTGACCGGACAAGACGAGCCCGGGGCTTCCAGGGGACGTAATGCTATTTCTTGGCCGTAAGGAACTATCTCCTACAATACCAAAGGGTATGCGAGGAAAGATTTTAAGATCGGAGTAAATAAACCCACACTTTAATGATCCTTCTGGTCCAGCTTTACCAAGTTCTGTTTTAAAAGTTGACACTCACACCCTAAATGTCATGTTTGCTTCCTAAAGCGGGATTGCGTGTTCCCAAGTGGACACGGGCAGCGTGGAGCGCGGCCCGGGCCCAGGGGGAGGAGGACGGGGGGGCAGCGTGTGCCCACCTAGGCAGCGGCCCGCAGCACAGCCTCCCCTCAGCTTCCTGAAATGCGACAGTCCAGCTGCTAAAACAGAAGGTCCCAATTGGAAGACGAGAGGGCACCAACCAGCCCGGTGTGGCATGTGAGTAGTCTGGAAAAAAAAAAAAAAATGCCAGAGAGAAGAAATAGTGCAAAAAACCCCAAAGTGCAGTTTTTGAGAATTTAGCAGTGAAGGGGTAACAGCGACCGAACGCGAAGGATGCCAGGTTTAGGGGGCAGGCTCCCACCTCAGATCTCCGCCTGAGGCCACTTTCTCCGGGAAGCCTTCCGGGACGCCCCCCAGGAAAAGGTGGGTACCCCGCATTTCCCTCCACTCCCACCACAGACCTGCTCTTAGCCTGTCTGCCTGCCCCTCCCCCACGGTCCCCCCTGTTGGAAACCCAGCGAGGGGACCCGGCCTACCGCGTTCCCTGCATGCCTCCTGCTTCTGGTTCAGTCGCTGGCAAACAGCAGGAGCTCGGTTAATTTTTCTTGAATGAATGAATGAATGAATGAACGAGCTCCCTCTGGTTCAGTTTTCCACCTATGTCTACGGCCCCCCTTCTCGCTCCGAGGCAGGATGGCACCCCAGGCG